CGTGGCAAATCCCAGGGTGTCGTCGGCATCCAGCTTCAACTCCTCCACGCATCTGGACAGCGTATCGGCCACCACGTTGTCGGCTCCCTTCCGGTGCGAAATTCCGAAGTCGAAGCCTTGCAGCCTGAGGGACCATCGTGCCAGGTGTCCGCTGAGGTCCTTCATGTTCATCAGCCACTTCAGACTCGCATGGTCGGTGATTACCGTAAACGGCATCAGTTCCACATATGGCCGGAATCTCTCTATGGCAAGTACTGCTGCCAAGCACTCCTTCTCTGTCACCGAATAATTTATTTGGTGTTTGTTCAGTTTTGCGGAGAAGAAGGCTATCGGACGCTCGTTCTTGTCCTCGTCATATTGGAACAGGACTGCTCCCACCCCAAGATGCGACGCGTCGCACTGGACATAGAACGGCCGTTTAAAGTCAGCGTGGACCAGAACCGGGGCCGAGGTGAGTGCGTTCTTCAGCGCCCGTATCGCGCTCTTGGCCTCTTCGCCCAGAACTAACCGCGTGGTTTTTCCTTTCTTTAGGGCGTCCGTGAGCGGTGTCGCCATGGCTGCGAAATCCTTGATGAACCGCCGGTACCACCCCGCTGTGCCCAAAAAGCTCCGCAGTTCCTTCACCGATTTCGGCTCGGGAATCTTTTGGATCGCGACGATTCTCTCCGGATCCATTCGGAGTGTCCCTCCGCCGATGATGAACCCCAGGTACTTTAGCGTCTTGAAGCAAAACTTTGACTTTTTCAGCCCTATTGTCAAATTTGCCTTCCTCAGACATTCCGCCACCAAACTGAGGTACTTCATGTGCGTGTCGAAGTCCGGCGTGATGATCAGCAGATCGTCTAGGTATACGAACACATTTGACCTCAGCTGCGCGGGAATCACCTGATCCATGAGCCGGCAAAGCCGCTGCGCCGCGTTGCACAGCCCGAACGGCATCATCGCGAACTGGTATAGTGGCCTTCCCGCCACCGTAAATGCCGTGTACGGGCGGCTCTCTGGGTCCAATTCCACCTGCCAGAAGGCGAACTTGAGGTCGACACTCGAGATGAAGTGGGTCTGCTCTATCCTGGATAGGATTCCCTCGATGCTGGGCAGCGGATACGCGTCCTTCACGGTCAACTGGTTCAGCTTCCGCGCGTCCAGACAGAACCGGTTCTTGTCCGGCCTTCGCACCACCGTCGTGCGGTTACTCCACGGACTTTCGCTGACCTCGATCACACCCAGTTCCAACATCTTATCGACCTCAGCCCATACGATCTCCTGCATCGCTGGCGACAGAGGGTAATGCCGGTCCTTGAAGGGTTCTGCGCCTTCCACGAGCTGGATTCGATGCTTCTCCACCGATGTCCTTCCCAGTCCTACGTCCTCAAACGCAAGGAACTCCTTCTTCACCGCCTCTAACCGATTCTATTCCTCCTGTTGCAGGTCCCATTCCTCGATCACCGACTCCTTGATGGCTTTCCCGTCGAGCCACGGATTTGTTGCGTCCCAGAGCTCCGAAACGCTTGCCTCAGGATTTTGTGCGGGCATCTCTCCGAGGATGGCCGGTGCCAATGCGAATCGCCTCCAGAAGTCGATCCCGAGGTACATGGCCTGCTCCAAATACGGGCACACGTAGAAGGTAAGCACCTTCTCCACTCCCTTAAACTGCACCGGCACATGTACTCGTCCGATAATCGACCTATCTTCTCCCGCAGCGGTCTTCACTATGGACACGTACTTCTCCATCCTCACGCCCATCTCCTCCAGCAACTCACGGCTGCCTCTCCCGAGGACGTTGACGGACGCGCCTGTGTCCAGCAAACCGGTCACTCGCTTGCCCTTGATGAGGACCTCGGCAAAAACTCGGGGATCGCTTCCCATTCCTCGACGCACGGCTTCCACCACGGCTCGTCGAGTCTGGTGTCTCTGCCGGAATCGTTTCCTCGCCTTCAGGAGCCTCCGGCTGACGGTTCGCATCCCATCTAGCTGGTGACTGTTGAATAAGCGGTTCCGGGCCTCGAGGTACCGCTGCATCCGCTCCTCCGCTGGTAAATATCTTAAATTATTGGTTATCATATTTGTTTTCCTAACGACTACATCTGTACTTCTAGGCAAACTTATAGTTGTGGTCCGCGACTTCATCAGTTGCGGTTGGGCCTGAATCTCGAGCGCTGGTCTCCCACCTTCCCTGCGCTCGCCCTCGCGTTTCCCGCGCATACCGGGCAGTTCGGGGTGACTACCTCCGGTTTGCCGCATCGGTAGCAGAAAATCTTCCGCTCTGGCGACGGGCAATCGCGGAAACCGTGGTCGGTCTGGCCGCAGTTCCAGCAGGTCAATCTCGGCCTGGCAACCTCCTCGACGATCGGGTCCTCCATTCCCGCTTCGACCTCGGGTCCGTCGACCGCCACCTCTTCGACCTGGCGTCCGCTTGGCTGGAACTTGGATGGCCCGCGATAGGTGGGTCTGACCTCCCGCTTCATGAAGGCCTCTTCCACCTCCAGGCATTCCTCACGCAGCTGCTCCACGCTGTATACCCTCAGGGCATACACGAATCTCGCAATGTCTGCGGTAAGTCCCTTCTTGACGATTCGGACCATCTCTGACTCCGGTATGGGTGTTATCAGCCGGTTACCCAGCCGCCGCATCGCTCGGAAGTACTCTTCCACCGATTCGCCCTGCTGTTGCCGTCGGTCCTGGAGCGCTCGCCGACGCTCGAACTCGCCGCCTATGCCACGGAATCTGGCCACCGGGCTCTCCTTAAGGTCGTCCCAGGTCTGCGGCGGATTCTCCTTGACGTGCTGCCAATACCATTCGGCGGCCTGGCCTCGCATCAGCTGATAGAAGTTCCCCAGCACCTGGTCCCAGGAACACCGAGACTGCCGTTGTAGGTATTCCACCCTGAAGACGAAGTCTTCTACGGCGAGCTTGTTCGGGTCGCCGTCGAAGAAGATCTCCCACTTCTCGATCCGCACACCTCTCACCGCCTCCTCTCTTCTTTCAGGGCCCCGGAGACCCTCGGAGCTATATCTCCGGTCGTCATCCCCAGTCTGATGTCGGTATCGCTGCCCGCCGGTTGTCTGCTGCTGCTGCGGTTCGCCTTGAAACCATCCGGCGCCGACGTCCCACTGCGCTTGGCCGCTGTGCACCCTAGGTGGTTTAGGCGGTGAATTGCTCGCCACTTCCTCCTCTCGCTTGGATCGTGGATACGCTTCCCACCTCCTGGCGTCTCGGCGCTCCGTACCCGCCAGCGGCTTCGACTTCAACACGTCCCGCCTGCTGCTGCAGCGTCTGGACTGCGGCTGCCGTCTCCTTTAGCGGCTGGATCACTTGGTTGATCATTGCCATCATCTCCAGGAACCCGCTTCGAATCTCCTCCTGGAGCGTCCGGCTGATACTATCCGATGCCGCCGCCCGGTGCGTCTCGTATGCCTGGGCCACCGCTGCATTCACCGAGGATGCGATATCACTGGGGATTCCGCGGCGTGGGGGAGACAACTCCCAGCTGTCCCCTGCTGCATCGCCTGCTGCATAGCCTGCTGCGCCGCCTGCTGCGCCTCCTACTGCGCCTTCCTCCTCTCGGCCCTGCTGACCATCCTTCGAGGGAGTTCTAGTGGTCATGTTCCCAGCTCTAGACCGCAAATTGTATGGTTGGACCATTCACCTATACTATTCCTATCGCTACGTTTTATTTCCTAACACTTAACACGCTTTTGATTTTTTTCTCTAGACGCAACACAACAAAAACAAACTCTATCTGAACAACAAAGGGGGAAAAAGATTTGACGCCTTGCCGGAGCCAACTGCCTCCTGCTTTTTCGCGTCTCCTGCCTACTCCGAGATCAATTGTTATTTTACTGCGAGCTCCGTCGGATCCACCCTCTTCTGCTTGGAAGATAGGGCATCGAGGGCGCTCACTTCTATGTGGGCTTCCTGTCCAATTGTGCCGCGGATGTGTTTGCGAGTTCTTTGGCCGTTCCGGATGCATCGCATGGTGAACCCTGTGTCCCCATGGGCCACCCGGAGAACAGTCATTTCCTCGCACACATCCGCGTCGCAACCGGCAGGAGCCTGCTGCGTCTTCATCCATTGTTTGGAGATCCTCCCTCGTCCACCAGGCAACGAAAAGGAGCCTACTAGCTGACGTTTTTTTCGCCGCTAGTGCCATCCCTCTCCTCTGGAAGAATCCCCAATTTTAGGTGAGTTTCTTGACAAAAACAAAACTTATCATTTGGACATTTACTTTGTGGTTTTTTTCTCTTCCAGCCGCCCAGGTTTTCTTGCGGCGAGCTATTATGCACGACATTCAGAACCGCCGACATAAGCCATCGCATCGCTTTCCAACCTGGACAGCCGGACCACCTGGATTTCAGCCATCGGCTAGAAGATATTTTTTTTTCTCATCAACAGCCTTGTGGGTGCGATTGTCCTTCTCGGAAGGACGCTCGCCACCTCGCTACCTTTTGATGGTTTGGGCGCCATTATGTTACGACCTGAGTTTTTTTGATGGGGCAAGGCCGGCTAGCCAGTCTCTCCTCTCAGGGGGGATTTCTCCCCATTCGCCCGCAGGTCGCACCATAAATCCCAGCTGATCTGGAATCCGCAAAACAAATAAAAAAAAAACAACAAGGACCGACAAGAAAGGTAAACAAATTACATTACTCTACAACAATTACTGCTTACTTCATCTTTCTCTTCTCTCTCGGAGTGTAGGCTTGGGCTTGGCTGGAATCGCCCTGGACGCCCCTCCCTTCCAGAGATCCGGACTCTCATCTTCTGCGGATCTCCCCTTGGCAGGCGGACTTCGCCGGCCTACTCCTGACTACGGTCTCGTCATCTTTCCCCCCCCCAATCGGAAACGCTTAGTAACTCATCGTTATAAACATTTTTTTTAATTTCCTAGATAATACATATTTAATTTTGACGTATAACTAATTAACAAACTTTCATTTGTATCCTTTCTAGAACATCACATGGGCAAAACAATATCAGAAAATGCGGAAATTTAACAAACGACGATGAAGACAGTGGAGCAGCGAACAACGGAGAAGACAGCGATTTTCTTGCACAGGTATAAATGGATATCAATATATATATATAATTATTCAAATGTACCCTCGTTTATTTCAGCTACATCCTACCTACTTGGAGCTCCAAATTAGGGGAAGGGACTGAGACGGGACGTTCGAAATGGTTTAATCTTCACACTTATACCCCTACACTACAAACCGGCCTTCTGCAGCGCAGCCGCATCAAGGATCCCTTGATTTAAGCCTTACTTTACGTTAAATTTTCTGAAATTGTTCATGTTCCAGATGTCTATATGTTCATTATTATTTATTGATAATTATTATTTAGGTGCCTTCGACTGAATTTTTGCGTGCTTGTAAATTTTAAATTTTCATGTATTCGGCGTTTTGTATTGCCAAATAAGCGTATAAACGTATTCACACAATCTTACGCAAAACAAATAAACAATATAAATTTGCACGGGCACTTCAGAATAAATAACATGGATTTACATTTAATAAATAAATAAATAAATATGTACGAATAAATTAAATAAATAAATAAATATGGCGGAATTAAATAAATAAATAAATTAGCCTAATTTTTTTGCGTAAATAAATAAATTAAATGATATCCGGCCGTGGATTTTTTCTTTTGGGCTTCCGTCCCTCTTTTGTCCCGGCTGAGACGGTGGCACCTCGGCCTTGGAGGTCCAGTTTTCGGGGCCCGTTCGACTTTGGGGTTGGGGCCGATTTTTTTTTCTAGTTACTCCCGCCCAGAATTTTTGCCTCCAGAAGGCACAGGACCCTGTGAACGTGTCTTCTTTTATTTTTAATTCTGGTTCCCTTTGGAACGGACTCACTTTGATTTCTTCCTGGCTGTTTCCCTTCTTTCTGGTTTCCTGGGGACCGGCTCCTGGTCACCCTCGTGGCTTCCCGTTTCCGTTTATCCTCCTCTATTTCCTGGCTTTTTCTTCCCGCACTCCCGTCCGAAATATATTTATTTTTTTCACCTTCCCGTACTGTTTTCGGTTTTTTTGGTTTTATTTTCGGGTTTTTTTCGGGTTTTTGCGGTTTTTTTCCCGGGTCTTTGCGGTTTTTTTCTCGGTCGAAAGGTTTTGGGTTTGATTTCGGCTCCGTTTTCCCTACTGGCCGCCATTAGCGGTCACCTTGCCCTATATAGGCTCGGTTCCCACCAATTCCTTCACCCACTTTTCTTTCCTCTCTCCCGGGGTCGAGAACCGCTTTCAAGGCCAGTACTCTCTGGTGCCTTGGTGTGGGTGTAGCTAGCCTCTCTCGCGATCGGCACATACTTCCCACACTTCCCCTTCGGTGTGGATCGCATGAGGCGCTCGAGATGCGATCCACTTCCCCTCTTCCTGGCCCTGCCAACCTATCCTCGGTGCGCATCCCAGACGATATTTGTTTCGCCTGCGGCTATCGATTACCGCCCGAATGCAACAGCTTTCAGTTTTAGATGAAGTTTCTTGCTTTAAATATGTCTTGGCCATGTTAGGCTGGTGGACGCCCAGGTGCGTTACCACGTTAACTTCGGGCTGTTTAATTAAAGCGGAGGGCATGTGTAGTAGGCCAGATAATGTTATTATGATCTGGTCACTTTATCGTTGAGCTCCGCTCTCTGAGAGAGCAGGTTACTCTCTCTCTCAGAGAGCGCTGCTTATGAATTTCGGAGGTTGAAAGGCTAGGTGTCGTAAAAAAAGTACAAATGTGTATTAAGTTCCTTAAGCATTCTGACAGCACATGTACCAGCGAAAATTTGTGTTCGCTGTGTAATAGAGGGCATCATACAATGCTGCATATAAATTCCCAAAAAAGAGAGAAAGTCAATACCAGCGTGGCTTCGACTCAGGCGTTGCTGGCAACAGCAAAAATTAAGGTAAAATCGGCAAATGGCGATTTTAAGAATTTAAGAGCTCTGATAGATAGTGGATCCCAAAGCACTATCATATCAGAGGAGGCAGCACAAATTTTAAAGTTGCCACGAATAAAATCTAAAACAGAAATTAAGGGGATTTCGTCTTCTGATACAGTGAGTCAAAACAAAATTAAATTAATTATCGACGACCCTACATCAAAAAAGGAATTCATAACGGAGTCAAAAATATTGCCAAAGTTAATGAAAGCCCTACCTATAAATAAAATAAATATAGATAAATTAAAATGGCAAAGATTTACATTAGCTGACCCGGACTTTAATAAGCCAGGTCGAGTTGATGTAATTATTGGAGCGGATTTATATACATACGCATATCATGAAGAGAAGTTAGGCAAAAATTAATGGATTATTACAGTGTTGCCAGGTGATGAGCGCCCGTATAGGCTAGATTTTTGAAAAAAATCGGCTAGAATATGCTAAAATTAAAAAAAAAACAAGAAAGGAAGCTAACTTCGGCACGCCGAAGTTTGTATACCCTTGCAGATATTATTTCATTAAATTTTACCTATACTTATTATGTTGAGAGTTTGACAGTTACAGTTTTACATTCCCAGTTTATATGGCAGCTATATGATATAGTTGTCCGATTTTCATGAAATTTATACCAAAATTCTGAACTAATAAAATAAGCTTATATCTCAGAGTAGATAAAAATAGGTTGAAAAACAACGAAGTTATAATGTTTTTTCTATTAATTTCCCGATCGTTCCTATGGCAGCTAGAAGATATAGTCGTCCGATTTTCATGAATTTTTTACCGAAATTCTGAAATAATATAAAATGGCCATATCTAAAAAATGGTGCAAAAATGTTGATAAACAGCCAAGTTATAATTTTTTTTCTAAAAATTTATCGATCATTTGTATGGGAGCTATATGATATAGTCGTCCGATCCGGCCCGTTCCGACATATATAGCAGTGAGAGTATATAGAAGACTACATGCAAAGTTTCATTCAGATAGCTTTAAAATTGAGAGACTAGTTTGCGTAGAAACGGACAGACGGACGGACAGACGGACGGACAGACGGACAGACGGACATGGCTAGATCGACTCGGCGGTTGATGCTGATCAAGAATATATATACTTTATAGGGTCGGAAACGTCTCCTTCACTGCGTTGCAAACTTCTGACTGAAATTATAATACCCTGCAAGGGTATAAAAATGCTTAAAAACAAGCTACTCTGAAATGAGAGAAAGCTTTAAACCTTATGTTTTTATGTGGGTGGCAGAAACAATTGGGGGCTATATTTATGATTAGGTCATTTTCATTAGGACAGTTTCCGAAAGAAAAGAACATCAAATTAAAGGCGATTGTTGATGCATTTATAATAGTTTTTGGTATGTGTGAAGAGAAATCTTATTAAATATGTTATTATTAAAGCAATTTAAATATATTAGTTATTAATTCACCGATTTCGTCATCTTGATCATCATTTAAATATTGTTTTTTTTTTTATAACCATGATGTATATTTCTGGCAGGATGTATGTCTGGTTATGCAGCCCTCACCTGATGACCCAGCGGCCAAACGACAACAATAAATTTGCTCTGCGTATGCCCATATGATACTGTAATGCAGTTTTCATTAATTAGCTACTTCATTAGAACCTTGAAAGAGTCAACTATATTGTCATTTTGCTTGGATTATTTTGGTAATACGACTACGGTCACACCGACCGTAAAAGGTAAACAAAACAAACGGCCGCCATTCGCGGCGTATTATTATGAATTTCTGAATTCCTCGTCGAAGTATTCTTGCATAAATAAATGCAGAATCCTTTAAATTTATGTTTTTAACCTATAATGCTTAAAATTTTTTTAATTATTACCAAAAAAAAATGTTTAATTCATTTTACACCGTAAGAACCTTGCCACCGCAAAACATATTATTTTTCCTAATTTTCTAATATCTTTTCAGTTCAAAAACCAGAGAAATGCTGTAGAAATAAAATTCTCATTGTGAGACCATACTGTCAATGAGCTGGCTAATACATTTTTCAATTACAATTTTCTTCATTAAACCCGTATTTTGTTATCGAATATCTAGTATATAGTATGTAGATCTATCGATTATCGCGGCAATGAAGTAGCTAATGCATTATTCTAATGCATTAGAGCGCCATATAGTCGTCTTGCTCGCACTTGTGTAAAACGCTATAGCGCTGTCAAATCTTTAATGAAGTCTCTAATTAATGCGGCAGTGTCATGCCAGTAGTAGCAAAGCTTTACCTCTCCTCCTGCCTTCTGCATGACATAAACTTTATCACTCTCTCGGTCTATTTGCATAGCTGCCCTTGGCCGTCCGCTAACTGCAGCAAAAATTCTTTTCTCAGTTCGTCTTCGTTTGTCTTCGCCTATGCTTGATAGCGATCAACTCAAATATTTGCCTATAACTATTTTCGGACCAATTCGGGTCATAAATATCCGCAGCGGCAATTCGGCTCGCCTGCGCTGATAAATAATAGAAGCTTCGTGGCTTAATAAATATTGCATTTAATTTATAACGTTTAAAACAAGTGCGTCGAATTGTCCAATTTCTTTTGACCCAAATATGGTCAAAAGAAATTGGACAATTCGACAGCTATTGAAAAAGCTCAGTAGCTCAACATTTTTTGACCCCGACGTGATTGGCTATTAAAAACATTAAACATTTCGGTTTAATAATTGTGCATTGCTTGTGGCTGTACTTTGCCGCGCCGCGCTAGGCAAACGTACATACATACATACATATGCACCGGTACTTTGGCGTGCACTCTTTGCTCTCGTTCGTCTGCTTGCTGTTCATTTGCCGTCGGTAACAGCTATTCGAATTCGCGATAGCTGCCCATGCTAAAAAAATTGCTTCTGGCCTTACTGCCGATAGGGTTAAGGCCGTCCCTGAGGAGGAGCTCACACTGCAACTTGAGCTTATAAATAAAACCGAAGCCTCTTTCTCATTGGCTCATGATTCGTTAGAGGAACTCGATTATGAGGAAATTGGCAGCAAGGCGCGGGACGACTTTGAGGAGTTGGTGTTCTCCATGAGATCGTTGGTGCTGCAAGAGCTGGGGAAGCGCAAATTCCCAGGAGTTCCGTGTTCAACCATGCATCCAGAGGTGGCCATGGAGGCAGCTGCGCCTGCTCCAAGAAGATCGTGCCTTCCTGAGCTTAAGTTGCCAACCTTCAGCGGCGGCTACACTGAGTACGCTGATTTTATTTCGATGTTCCTGACAATTATTGATAGGAATAGTGATCTGGCTCCAATTGAGAAGCTGCAGCACCTGAAATCATGCCTGAAAGGTCCAGCTTTAGATGCCGTTCGTTCGCTGGAGATCACTGACTCTAACTATGGAGTAGCTCTGGAATTACTTGACAATCGCTTCAATAATAAACGCCTTATTTTTCAGGCTCACATAACAGATATTTTTGGTTTGTCAAAGGTGGAAAGTGCATCAGCTGTGAAGCTTCGTGAGCTCTCCGACAAGCTCAATGCCAATCTTCGAGCGCTTCAGAGCTTGGGTACCTTGGAGGAGATAGCTGGTTGCATTCTTGTTCATACGCTGCTGCAAAAGGTTGACCCGACTACCCAGGCTAAATGGGAAGAGTCTGCCTCGCTGGACAAAATACCCACCTGCACAGAATTTACTAAATTTCTGGAGAAGCGATGCCAGAAACTTGAAAATGTGGAGCATGCTGCTGTATCCAATGGTGGCAATTCGCAAGCTTCAAGGACCAGGAGGTTCAGCAGTCATGGGAGAAGTTCGTTCGTCGCCACTAGCATCACAGCCTCGACCAGATCGTGCGTTATGTGCTAGGGTGCAAATCATGGCATTTATAATTGCGCTTAATTCACCAGCCTTTCTCCTCAAGCTCGTCTGCGTGAAGCTAAACGGCTAGCCGTATGCCTAAACTGCCTCAAATCTGGACATCAAATGAGGAATTGTAGTTCGGGCTCCTGTCGAGCATGTGGATCTAAACATCATAGCCTTCTACACTTTCCCGCACCGCCTGTAACAGCGCCCCCACAACCTGCTCCACCTAACGAGCCATCTTCGTCAAATGCTGTTCCAAATGGATCGTCAAACTCTTCGCTCGCTTCGTCGTCATCGCAATCCGCTGCTTTGGTCGCTCAGAATCTTGATACGGATTGTGTTTTGCTTGCCACTGCAGTCATCAGTGTGCAAAATCGCTCTGGTTCGTGGGTTCCTTGCCGCGCCCTGCTCGACTCGGGATCTCAATTGCATATCATTACTTCTCGCCTCGCACACTCGCTTCAGTTGCCGAAGGTCAAATCCGCGGCCACTGTATCTGGACTTGGAGACTCTAAATTTTGCTCGGATGGTTTTTCGGTAAATATTACTTTAAAGTTTCAAGCTTCAGATTTCGTCTCCAGTATCTCGGCTTTGGTTGCGCCTGCCATCACGGACGACCAGCCTAGCTTCACCGTCAGCCCAGAGGACTGGAACATACCCTCCAACATTCCCCTGGCCGATCCACAGTTCTTCAGATCGCAAAGAATTGACTTATTAATTGGAGCAAGTCTATTCTTTGAGCTGTTATGTGTTGGCCAAATTAAGTTGTCTGATGGGCTCCCGCTGTTGCAAAAAACCCGACTGGGATGGGTTGTCACTGGCGGAGGATCAGCGCCACGCCAGTCAGCGGCCTTGGCTGTCCAATCTATTGCAGGGACGTTAGTCGGAGATGACGCTGGTCTGGAGAGCGTTGTGCGGAAGTTTTGGGAAGTGGAAAACGTTGGAGAGTCTGGATCTCAACGTACCAAAAAGAAACTCGATTGTGAAGCTCATTTCAACGACAGCTTTACTCGGCTGCCGTCAGGAGAATACTCGGTTCGCCTGCCAACTAAGCATAGTGTTGAAATCCTGGGAGATTCATATCAACAAGCTTATCGTCGTTTCGTCAACCTGGAGAACAAACTGGATCGTCATCCTCATCTCAAAGCGCAGTACTCGGCATTTATTCGTGAGTACCTCGATCTGAATCATATGTCTCTTGTGGATTTAGACTCACGGAATTTATGCAAGTTTTATTTGCCACATCACTGCGTCATTAAAGAGGATAGCACAACTACTAAGCTGCGTGTTGTTTTTGATGGGTCTGCCAAATCGTCGTCTGGATACTCATTGAATGAGGTGCTCATGGCAGGTCCCACCTTGCAGCCGAGATTGTTCAACACACTGTTGCAGTTTCGCACATTTCCTGTCGATATTTGCAAAATGTATAGATGCGTTCGGATTGCTGAGCCGAATAGCTACTTGCAATGCATTTTGTGGCGTGACTCACGGCAAGAGGAAATTCGTGTTTATAGGCTGGACACTGTCACCTATGGAACTAAACCTGCCTCGTTTCTGTCAGTTCGAGCCATGCATCAGTTGGCAGAGGATGAGAAGGCATCGTTTCCCCTTGGCGCAAAAATACTTTTGCGAGACTTCTACGTGGATGATCTCATCACAGGAGGCAACTCGATACAAGACGTCTTGGAGATCATGCGGCAGACCACTGGACTTCTCGAAAGGGGCAATTTCAAGCTGAGAAAATGGTGCTCAAACGATCCTGCGTTGCTGCAACAAATCCCAGAGGCCGAAAGGGATTCTTTCTTGAAGTTCGACGATGGCAGCGACATTACAAAAACGCTTGGACTTGCTTAGGATTCGTCGTCTGACGTTTTGCTGTTCTCCACATCGCCAATGAAAATTATTGCCAAACCAACCAAGCGCTCAGTCTTGTCTACGATCGCTTGCTTTTATGATCCTCTAGGTCTTATTTGTCCTGTAATTACTAAAGCCAAAATATTTTTACAGAAGATTTGGAGAGAGAGATTCGACTGGGACGAAAGCTTGCCGGCAGCGCTAAATTCTTCGTGGCTAAGTTTGTCGGCCAATATTTGTGAGACGCAAAAGCTCCAGTTTCCTCGGCTAGCACTGAACCCAAACAACGTGATCGAAGTTCACGGATTCAGTGATGCCAGTATTGACGCATACGGAGGCTGCATTTACGTCGTTTCCATGGAGGATGACCGATGGATTGCCCATCTCCTCTGCGCTAAATCTCGTGTGGCGCCACTCTCACGGTCCCTAAGTTGGAGTTGTCTGCTGCCGTGCTGCTGGCTCAACTCATTCAAGAAGTACAACAAATGGGGTTATTCTCGTGCTCCTACTACTGCTGGTCGGATTCTGCAGTTGTTTTGTCCTGGATTAGAGATGAGTCGTCACGTTTTCAAATATTTACTGCTAACCGAATCTCTTTAATTCAGTAGATTACAAACGGAATGGAGTGGCGCTACGTCCCTACGAACTGCAATCCCGCAGATATCCTGTCAAGAGGTGCTCTTCCCAGTGAACTGGTAGCGTCTAACCTATGGGCTCATGGACCTGACTATCTCCGAAAGGAAAAATCTCAATGGCCAGAGTCCTGCCTTGCAGTGAAGACTCTTCCTGACCTTAAAAAGATTGCTTTGGTTGGCATCTCGACAGCTGCTGATGTATCCTTGTACTGCAAATTCTTCAACTCGTGGGAAAATTTAAAGCATGTCTTCGGCTACATATACAAATTTCGCCATCGCATCAGGCAGCCAGGTCTCACTTCGGAGCATGTTCGCTGTGGCACCCAAATGCTCATCCGCTCCATCCAGATGGTTCATCTTAATGACGAATATCATTGCCTGCTTCGAGGACGGCCAATAAGGGCCTCCAGCTCCATCGCATCGCTCTCGCCCATTATCGACGAACTTGGGCTTTTACGTGTTGGCGGCCGACTCAAAAACTCTGCTCTGGACTATGAGGCACGCCATCCACTGATATTACCTCGTCAGCATCCTGTAACTCGCGCAATAATCCTGCATTTTCATCGGCGCAACCTACACTCTGGACCACGCTCCCTGCTCGCTTCAATCCGGCAGCAGTTTTGGCCAATTGGTGGCCGCAAGACGGTTGCGAGTGCTGTGAGCAAATGCATAATTTGTTTTCGGGCCAAGCCACATGTTGCTGGCCACATTATGGCTGATCTTCCGGAGGACCGCGTCAGCGCATCTTACGCCTTCCAGGTGACTGGACTGGATTTTTGCGGCCCTTTCTACCACAAGTCGGAAGTTCGGAATAAGGCACCCATCAAATGCTACGTCTGCATTTTTATCTGCTTTTCCACAAAGGCTGTGCACCTCGAGCTGGTCCAGGATCTCTTCACTTCAGCGATTCTTAGCGCATTGAGGCGCTTTATACTGATTCGTGGCAAGCCTGCTCGCATATGGTCGGACAATGCGACTAATTTTGTTGGCGCTAAGAACGAGTTGGCTGAGCTAAAGCGATTGTTCCTGAATGCCAGCCAACAAACCGCAATAGATGAATTCTGCTTGACTGACAGCATCGAATGGCAATTTATTCCTCCTCGCTCTCCCCACTTTGGAGGTCTATGGGAGGCGGCTGTGAAGACTGCGAAGTACCACTTCTACCGATTTGTTGGACCTGCAGTACTGCCCGCTGATGACCTGCGCACTCTCGTTTGCCACATCGCGGCAATCATTAATTCTCGTCCTTTAGTCTCACTTTCAGAACACCCTGGCGATCTTGATGTGTTGACACCGGCGCATTTCTTGGGTACTGCTCCTCTGGCTTTGTTTCCTGAGCCTGACTACACTAACTTGAACCTCAATCGGTTGGATCGCTGGCAGAAAATTTCGTTCTACCAGCAACTGTTCTGGTCCCGCTGGAAAAAGGAGTACCTGACGCTCCTTCAACAGCGCTCCAAGTGGCGCACACAGAAGACGGATATTCAACTCGGTGATGTCGTTCTGGTTAAGGACGAAAACCTGCCCTCCCTCAAGTGGCCACTAGCTCGAGTGGTCAACCTCGTCGCTGGATCCGACAATTTGGCTCGAGTCGCTGTGCTGAAGACCGCCACTGGCCTCATCAATCGCGCAGTTGCTAAGTTGTGTGTGCTGCCGAAGCAGGATGAAGTTGAAAGCCAGTGTCTTCCAACGGGGGGAGAATGTCTGGTTATGCAGCCCGCACCTGATGACCCAGCGGCCAAACGACAACAATAAATTTGCTCTGCGTAGCAAAGCTTTACCTCTCCTCCTGCCTTCTGCATAACATAAACTTTATCACTCTCTCGGTCTATTTGCATAGCTGCCCTTGGCCGTCCGCTAACTGCAGGAAAAATTCTTTTCTCAGTTCGTCTTCGTTTGTCTTCGCCTATGCTTGATAGCGATCAACTCAAATTATCCTATAACTATTTTCGGACCAATTCGGGTCATAAATATCCGCAGCGGCAATTCGGCTCGCCTGCGCTGATAAATAATAGAAGCTTCGTGGCTTAATAAATATTGCATTTAATTTATAACGTTTAAAACAAGTGCGTATTTTTGGGTCAAAAGAAATTGGACAATTCGACAGCTATTGAAAAAGCTCAGTAGCTCAACAATGTATATTTCTGGCAGGGTGTATTTATGGCAACATATCCCACTCAAAATTGATTGATTGGGGGAAACACTTCAGCCAACATATAGGTCTTCTATGGCACCATAGAGTAGAAATAAATTCACGATCATATGAAATAAAAAAGAACCAGCTCCGATATTTTCATGCCATGAAGCATATTTTTCTAAAAAAAACTATTAATGGCGCAAAGCCAGTCAAAGCTAGGATATGCTATACGAATTTTAAAATAAGCTATATTTCAAGCCATAAGCTAGATGGAGATTTTACAAGCTTTTCCAGTTTCAAATATGCTAGAACTAGCTTACAATAAGCTAAACTGGCAACACTGGCCAATAGTGTAGCAGGCAAGTTAACGTAATTATGATCGTAACGTAACGTAATTATTATCGTTGAGCTACGATCTCTGAGAGAGCAGGTTACTCTCTCTCTCAGAGAGCGCTGGCAACATTCAAGACAACAATATAATACTAAATAAAAGAAACAAAATAAAATAATATACGGCCACAATCTCAGAAGTGGGATCGAGAAAAAATTTGTTATGCACGGCAACTATAAAACTGAAATGGATTTGGACTTTAATAAAGTGATGGTGGCTCAGCTAAAAAAAAAATGGCTAGAGTGTTTAAACTTGTCGACGAAGGGGTCAAAAGCTTATCTGTACTCCCGGATATGTGCGATTCCACCTGAAAGCCGAGGGAGTGCTCCACTGATGAACCAGGGGAGGAGGAGCAAGGAATTCAGGACGAAGAGGCGGAAGGGGCAGCAGTGGAGAAGCGAGTGAAGCCGAATCGGACGGAACTGGCTCGTGGCATGGCAACTGTGGAGGAGCTGCATCGTGAAATCGAGAAGGCAAGAAAGGTTCTCGAGAATCTTTAACAGCAGATCGACAGCGTCAGTTCGAGAACAAGCGACGTGCGAGAGAGAATAACGGCGAAGTGTTCGAAAGAGACGGCAAGCGTAGCAACGGTGCGGCAGATAATGTACGTAGGAGCGAAAGAGATGGCGAGCGAAGCATGGGTATAGCCAATGAGGCAAAAAGGAATGAAAGAGACGCCAGCGAGAATTCTGGAAATTTAGAACGAAGCGACAACGGGCAAAACGGCAGCAGCGACGCTAACAGTGAAAGAGGCGTTCGAGACGATTTTTCATCAGCCGGATTTGGCTTGGCGAAGGAAATCCTATTGAATGTTCGTTCGTGCCTGGGTCTCCCAATGTAAGAATGTAACCGGATTATACAAGCTTACGGACACACAGAGTAGAGTTTTGCTGATTGGAAAACTGAAAGGCATCGCGTTGCAGTGGTTGCACGCAGATGCAACCCTGTTTGGAGAATCGACGAGTGAGCTGGTGGACCAGTTACTTCTTGCGTTTGGTGGCAACGAGCCGAAAGCAGAATTGAGACGCAAGTTCGAGGAGCGGCTATGGAAGCCGACAGAAAAGTTTGCTGTTTATTTCGAAGAAAAACGCAGGCAGAGGTCAACATGGAAGATGATGAGCAGTTGGACGGACTTATTGTTTGCATTCCGGCGATAAATCTACGCAATTAGGCCAAGCTTCAGTGCTTCGAGAACCCGGGAAGGATGCTTGAAGCATTTTCCAACATAATGTTGCCGGTAAGGGCTGCTGGAAAAAAGAAGATGGACAACGCGAAGGATAAACTGGCGAGCAAAGAGACGCGTTGCTATAACTGCAACGGTAAAGGGCACTGGGCAAGAGTCTGCATAAAATCGAAGAGGACTCCTGGGTCTTGCTATGGATGTGGGGCGAAGGACCACATGATCAGCAAGTGCCCCCAAAACAAGAAGGATGCTGCGAATAATTATGTAAGATTGTTTAAAATATTTGTTTATGAAAACTCTAACCAGCCAATTATTACAGAATGCTTGAGAAAGTTTAGAAAGTTAAATATAAGGAAAAAGTTTTGGAAATGAGATTTTAGAAGAAGAAAGGTAAGGAAGCAAAATATTAGAAGAGCCTTTAGGAAATAATAGAGACGAATTCGCAAGAGATATGATGAATATTAATATTTTTTATTATTGGTGAAAAAATTAGCTACAAGGATAGAGAGAAGTTTATTAAGTTGTTAGAGACACATTATATTCAAGTCAAGCGACCTGAAAACTCTAAAATAAAATGTGAAATGAACATAGTGTTAGAAAACTCGAAACCATTTAGTTGCGCACCGAGGAGACTGTCATATAGTGAAAAAGAAGCACTGGTAAAAATGTTAGAGGAATACATTAGAGATGGAATTATTCAACCTAGTAAATCGGAGTATGCTTCTCCTATTGTATTAGTGAAGAAGAAGTCGGGGGAACTGAGACTTTGTATCGATTTTAGAAGATTGAACAAAATCATGTCGAAGGATAATTATCCGATACCATTGATTGATGACCTTTTGGATAATTCAGTTGGAAAATCGGTGATTACGAAATTAGATCATAAGAATTTTTTTTTTTTTTATATTCCATTTATTAAAACATACATTTGACTAAGCAACAAATAAACAAATAACAACAAAAAGAGCGAAGACTGCAGGTTGTTGGGTAGGAGGGTGCTATTTTAACGGTGTAGATGGCCATGGTCGCGCGGTACCGCCGCTAAGCATTGCTTCGCGCGAGTTACGGTGGCCTGTACTCCGCTCGCATCCTTCTTTCCGTCTCCAGGGTCCTCTGCGTTTTCATAACGCTAGCCACGAACGTGGCTGTCGCGTCCCAGGCCTTCTGGCTGGCAAGCATGATGGGGACCAGGTTATCAGCTCCGATGGCGGCGCCCACGGCTTCCTCCAGTGCTAGCCGCTCGTGGTGAAATCGATGGCATTCGAAGAGAACGTGGTGCACGTTCTCCTCCACTCCAGTCCCGCATTCAGGGCAGTGGTCCTCTGTGGCGTGGCCGAATCTTTTGAGGTAGCTTCGAAAGCAACCGTGTCCACTAAGTGCCTGTGTCAGGTAGAAGTCTACCTCGCCGTGTTTTCGGCCTACCCAGCTTTGGACGTCCGGAATCAGGCGGTGAGTCCATCGGCCCTTTGTAGAGTTGTCCCACCTGGACTGCCACCGGGCAATGCTCCTGCGCCTGGCACTCACCCTGGCCTCGCGCCTTTCCGAAGGGTTGTCCGGCTCGCGTGAGAGACGGGCTTCCTGAGCTTCTCGCACTAGCTCTCCTAGCGGCACCAGCCCCGCAATGACCAGGGCCGCTTCGTCGGAAACCGTCCTGAAGGCGCGCGCTACTCTCAGGGCGCACAGGCGGTAGGTACCTTCCGCACCCCTCACGTAGCTTCTAACATTCGCGGCCTCCGCCCAGACCGTGGCTGCATAGAGGAGTTGCGAAGTGACGACACTCGTGAGCAACTTCCTCTTGCACTGCTTGGGGCCTCTGGTGTTCAGCAGGATTCTAGAGAGGGCTCTTACTGTTCCGCTAGCCTTTCCGTGGATATATTCCAAGTGCTCTCTATAGCAGAGGCGGGTATCCAGATAGACGCCCAGGTACCTTATCGCGCGCTGCGAGGTAATTGGCAGGCCGCCAACCCGAATCTCGGCCGTTTCCACGCGCTTTCTGCTAGATATCAGCACTGCTTCCGTCTTTTGTGAGGCCAGTTCAAGGCCAGCGACTGCCAACCAGGACTCAACCGCTCGGATCACGCTGTTTGCCATTGACTCTGCCTCTGCCAGCTCCTTCGCTACGACCACCAGCGCCACGTCGTCGGCAAAGCCGACTATGGTGGTGTTTTCGGATAGCGGGAGGTTTAGTACTCCGTAATACATAGTATTCCAGAGCAGAGGCCCCAAGACGGAGCCCTGCGGGACGCCGGCTGAGACCTCGTGCGATCTGGTGCCAATGGTGGTATCCAGGATGAGTGTCCTCTCGCTGAAGTAACTGCGGATAATCCTTAGTAAGTAACCAGGGATGTTGAAGGCTTCGAGGGCCTCCAGTGTCCGCCTCCAGTCCGCAGAGTTGAACGCGTTCCGGATGTCCAGCGTTACCACTACGCAAAACTCCTTAGCGCCGTTTTTCCATCTAGTGCCTGCGATGGCATTCGCGGCCAAGTTGGTGACCACTTCGATGGCGTCCAGGGTCGATTTCCGTTTCCGGAAGCCGAACTGGTTTTCCGAGAGTCCACCAGCGCGCTCTATAGCAGCCTCCAGCCTCGCCACGATAATCTTCTCAAAGACTTTCCCGATCGTGTCCAGCAGACAGATGGGTCTGTACGACGACGCTTCTCCCGCGGGCTTCCCCGGCTTCGGCAGGAGAAGGAGCTTCTGTCGCTTCCATCGCTCTGGGAACGTGCCTTCCGAGAGGCACTTGTTGAAGATCTCGGCGATCACATTGGGGTGCAGGGAGAGCAGCATCTTGGTATCGAGTCGGGACCTGGTGCCTTCTTATTATTCAGGGTCCTCGCAGACTCTAGAATCTCCTGTTCCGAGACCGGGCATATCTCCCAAGAGTCACTGCTCACTGGGTAGTACAGCGGCTGTCCAGTTGGGAAAAGCACCCTAACTATTCCTTCAAGGGCCTCCGGGTCCGAAGAGGCTTTGCTGCCGGCGTTCACGCGCTTCACCACCTTTTTATAAGCCCCGCCCCATGGGTCCTTCTCGACGTCGTCGCAGAGCTTAAGGAAGCACTCTCTCTTGCTGGTCCTAATCGCGTTCTTCAGGGCGGACCTTGCGGTCTTGTACTCCTCGCTTCGGGCTAGAAGGTTCGGAGAGCCGCGCGCTCTCTGGACGAGCCTCCTAGCTCGGAGGCAAGATGAGCGTAAGGTGGCAATGTCGTCGTTCCACCAGTAAACGGGCGAGTGGTGCTTCCGGAAAGTTTTCCGCTGCTGCATGCTTGCCTTGCATGCTCGCTCGACAGCGACCGCCAGTTTGAGCGCAGCATCGTTGGCGCTGTCCGTCTCGTCAGTCGCTAGGCCCGCTAAGGCGCTCGTGAACACTTGGGCGTTGAGCGTGTCCTGCCGGAACGCCTTATTTGCACTGGGCGGGATCGTCCTGCTCGGTGAGTTCTCGCCGAGGGAGATGAGGATGGCCTCATGATCGCTGGCTGTATAGATCTCGCTGATCCTCCACCTGGCTAGGCAGGATAGTGCACTGCTAGCGTAAGTGAGGTCTATCACGGACCCTGTTCCCGCTCTGTTGAAAGTATGCTGGGTACCCTCGTTGAGCAGAGCGATATCCAGGGAGGCGAAGGCCTCCAGGATGATTCGGCCTCTGGCGTTGGTTGAGGGCGACCCCCAATCCTGAGCCCAAGCGTTGAAGTCGCCGCCCACTAGTGAGTTGCTCCGTCCCCGGATGTCATCGCTGAGCTCGTCGATGATACTGCTGAAGGCCTCCAGGGTGAGGCTTGGTGCCAGGTAGCAGCTGTACACCCACTCCCCGCCTACTCTACCGCGAACGAAGCCATCCGCCGATCTGACGTCGGACATGTGAGCGGGTTCCCGCCCGCACATCCGCAGCGCAGCTTTGCCAGTCCGGTCCATGGCCCAACCATGTGTGCTTGCAGCCTTGTATGGCTCGCTGAGCACCGCCACATCCACGTCCAGGTCCCGCACCGTCTGCATCAGCAGGTCATGCGCTGCCCTGCAGTGATTCAGGTTCAGCTGAATCAACTGCATGGCGCGTTACGGGGGACGGCGCCACTGCTACTGGAGCTCCTGGACGGGCAGCTTTTGCTGCCTGCCTGGTGCCTCGTCTCCTTCTTGAGGGAGCAGCGCAAAGGAAGCATTTCGCCTCGTTGGGGCACTTAGCGGCTTTGTGTCCCCTCTCCCCGCATTTTATGCAGCAGCCGGTCGCGCTTCTGCTGTTTGCGGCCAGGTGGCCAGCCTCGAGACACCGGTAGCATCTTGGGGGGCCTGTCCTTTCCCTGATCGTGCAGGAAGTCCAGCC